CTCCTTTTGTACCTTTTTAATTTGCTCTGCCTAATTGGGAAGTATCGTGCAACGCGTGGTCATTCATACACCTAAGAGACATGCTTAAGGGTTGAAGGCGCAAAAGCCAGTGAAGATGCTCTAGGCAGATGCACAAGCAGTGCTAGGCTGCATCAGCACGAGACTTGCTTGCAAGCATAACAGAGTACTTTGGCCACTAAACAATGAGGCTCTCCAACTAATTGAATTGGTTGCGGACTCGAGTGCCATCGCGATCAGTACGACGAAAGGAGTGCTAGGGACGCAGCCATTGAATGAGGAGATGTCAATTCCCATCCCCTCAAAGCAAAATGCCATAACGATGAGACACTCTATCACTTGCTACTAATTTTGCAGAGGATTCAACTGGTCAGGCGAGTGCTAATGAGGCACGAATGAGGCTCATATTCGACAGTGGATGAAGAGGGGGAGTGAGCGATTGACCTCTTATTTGCTGACAGAGGCTACCGTCTCCACTACCATCCCTTCCAAATGCGCCATCGGCGCAGCCTGCAATTTCACTGGCACCAGTGGATAGAAGCATTCCTTCTGCTGAAGGCTAACAGGATCACAATCAACCACGTAAGCACTGAAGACGATGCATTGCATCAGTTGACTAGCCAGTGTGTCCAGAATTGAACATCCGCACTTGAACTCGCAAAGCGTAGCTCGGTAGATGGTTGGTCTCTTTCGCATCCGGCGAGTAGGAACAGCGTCGGTAGTTCAATCGTACCCACGTAACAATACCCGCCTCGTCCATCCCATTCACCCTCTCTCTCACTCCACTGAGTAATCATGCACAACATACAAAACACGCGCGCCTTCCTCTCCTCTCCCGCATCCTCAATTGGGTACAAATTGCAAGTGGGGCGTGCACTTCCTTTGAGACATGCTGGTAATCCCACCTGCCTCCATACATCATCGATTGCAGGGGCAAAGCTGAACCTGTACTCGAACTCCCGTTCGACGTGTGCTTTTTCACAAGAGGTTAACATGCATCACTTCAGATTCACTCAAACGCCAACCTTCATTAAGCCGAGAGGTACGGTTGACGTCAGGTGGTACAGCCTAACCCACCTGCCTTCTTTAGACAACACAGAACTCATGTAGCTGGAACACAGAAAATCTCACGACACTTAGACTCTCGTTGAGACAACACTCCAAACAACACAACTCAGTTACAATTTACTCCACTCCCCACTTCCTTCGCCCTACCACCTAGCAGAAGCCCTCGCCGTAAACGCTGACAATACCCATCAACCCACCTCGTATGCACTCTACACCGCATTCGCATCTCCATCCTTGGCTT